ACTTCGAGAAACAGGTAATCCTGCTCCAGCAAAAGCTATTCGACCGCATGTAGTTAATGTAGAGGACGAAGAAGCTGTAATTAATGCTGTCATTGATAATCCTTCCATCAGCACTCGAAGAATAGTACACAACATATATGTAAGTCAAAATTTTGCATGGCGTGTATTGAACCGCGAAGTCCTTCATCCGTATCGTAAACAGAATGTTCCAGCTCTACAGTCAGGAGGTAATCAACAACGGTTAGCATTTTATGAAAGGTTATTGCAGCAACATGCCCAAAATAATGACTTCATCTCAAATGTTCTCTGAACAGATGAATCATGTTTTACACGAGATGGTATAAATAATTACCATAATGAACATATCTGGGCATCACAAAATCCGCATGCGATTAGACCAAGGAAATTTCAACAACGTTTCAGTATCAACTTTTGGGGTGGAATATTTAACAACAATTTACTAGGTTTGCATGTACTTGATGAATGTTTGAACGCTGTAAATTACAGATTTTTTTGAACAATACACTTTTTGATTTACTTGAAGATGATTTACCAGCATGATGGTGCCCCACCTTATCGCGGAAGAGTAGTTGTCAAGTGGTTAAACCAATATTTCCCAAACAAGTGGATTGGTAATAATGGTCCATTTGCTTGGCCACCTAGATCCCCCGACCTTAATCCATTGGATTAATTTATACCCCTTATGGGGTTAAATGAAACAAATTGTGTATCAAGTGGTAATTAACACACGAGAACAGTTTATTAAACTGAATAGAAATGGCTGCTACTGAAATAAGAAATCAATCAGACATTTGAATTCGGCTGAAGAACTCTTTAATTTGTTGTTGTGAAGCATGTATTCTAGCAGAAGGAGGCTATTTTGAACAATATTTGTAATATTTATGTGTTCAACAAAATGTAGCAGGTAATTGTGGTATAAAAATTAAAACTTTAAAGTGTTATAATTTCGTAAATAATTGAAATAGGACATATGTTCATTAACATTTTCTTTTGGTAATTGGATTAGCTATGATATGTCAAAGCTTGATGGTGAGCTAATAAAACACTCTGTATAAAAAAAGACTTGAGCAAATGTGTTATATGGTTGTATAAGAAAAAAATCGAGAAAAAACGAGATTTTCTAAAAATATTAAATCAGCAAACTACAATCAAAGTAAGTGCTGAAATAACGCCGTTGACAACTTTAAATGTCAAAAAAATGACAGTTTCAACAATTATGAATAATTAATAATGTATGGGTACGGTGACACACATTTAATGTAGTTTCGTTGGCTAGGTTTTGGATGCTACGCATTGTGTAATTTGTGTATCTGGGTAAACATTACTGATTAGTCTACAAACTTCACTTTAAGTGCGTTTTCTATCACCGTACTCATACATATTTGCATTCTTAAATGCGCCATATTTGTTGGAACTGTCAATTTTTTGACATTTAAAGCTGTCAACGGCGTTATTTCGGCGCCTACTTTGATTGTAATTTGCTGATTTAATATTTTCAGAGATCGCTCGATACGATCGATATGATTTGATATGTTCATTGCGTAGAGGGATTTATCCTCTATCAAAATCATATCAAAATTTGCAAAAACAAACATACATACCACTTAAAATAACATTTGTTGCGATAACAACGAAACAAAAACAATGTAAACAAGCAAATATAGCCAAAAAATGCGTCACAATTAATACAGAATTTTTTATTTGAATCATTTTTCTTTAAAACCACAAATGGCGAAATTATTAACTATATTCTAGACATTTCACAAACCCTGTATAAAGACTTTGAATACGTATGAAAACCCATAGCATTCCATCTAAAATAACGATTTCGTGGTCTACTTCCGGTGGACCGGAAGTGGCGACCATCGTGGAAATATCCCAGAATATCTTATTAATTAAATTAAAAAAAATAGAAAGTTGCTGACTTTATGGCGGACACTGTATAATACATAGATAAGATATAATATATTTGTTATATAGATGGGCAACTATAAACGTTTGATTGAAATGCGCAAATAGTTTTGGATACTGTCACCTACAGCGCTGAAATCATTGGCAGGCGGGAAATATAAATTAAATTTGTTATTTGAAAGGTTTATCGATGATTTTTTACGAAAACATTGCTTGGTGACAAAACTTTACAAACTGTGGAAAACTTTAAACACATTAAATTTTGTCATTTACAATGTTTTACAAAAAAACATCAAAAAAACATGACTAGGTATTAAATTATTATTTGGGTTATTAAATAGTATATTAAAAAACAAGTTTCGTAAGACACGCTTGAAATGCACGAATTCAATTTGAATTTAATGAATGAGTGCTTTAAGTCTTATGAAACGTGTTTTTTATGCTATTTTTTGTAATTCGCGTTTTTATCCTTTTTTTTTTTAACAAAAATAAAATAAATTTTGACAATGTAGGGAAATAGGTATGCAGCAGTTGGTAACACGGTAACACTTGAATATAGAAATTTGAATTGACAATTAGAAACTGTCAAAACACAAAATGTATTCACCTGAAAAAAATGTTTCATGTACACCTCCCAAAATAAGAGAAATTGCTCAGTGTTCAATGTCCTCATCATTGTGGACCTTGTATTCGATGCTAAGAACGTGTTTAAACATCCATAGACAAAAATTGTCACATTGACAACTAGAAAAATTAATGACCCAATGTCACCAACTTGAACTGGTTCCATAAAATGTTACTAAAATCTCATTACAGCATCGGATGCTGTAAGGAGTCTCATTACAGCACTCGTTTGAGTACTGTTAGAGCTTTCGTTACCGTCGCGAATTACAAAAAAGTCTTTAAATGAATAACAAAGACTTTATTCTTTAATTTTTTTATTATTTTTACCACATCGTTTCCTTTTAATTTTATTGCATTTATCCAATGCTGCTTCCGCATCAATCGAAGTGTACTGATTATAAAGCAACAAGAACAAATCGCTAGCAACTCTTCCACTGTACACAATACAACGCAATCAAAAATATTACTATGTCAAACCTGATCAAACCAGTTAAACTGACAACTCAAAAAATTACTAAAATGGGTTCTGTAATCGAAAGCAACGCCATAACTGACAGTATCCAGACTGAAACGTATGTTCCCAACTCCATTAATACGAGTGACTGGTGCATGGTATAATATGAGCATTTCCTGATCATATCATATATAATAAAATTATCTTATCATCAAACATTGTTTTATAGTCTAACATATAGTTTTTTTATCATATTTTATTTCGGTATCCATTATCTCAGAGCGTCTCATAATAGTATGTATATTAAAAAACAAGTTTCGTAAGACACGCTTGAAATGCACGAATTCAATTTGAATTTAATGAATGAGTGCTTTAAGTCTTATGAAACGTGTTTTTTATGCTATTTTTTGTAATTTGCGTTTTTATACTTTTTTATTAACAAAAAATAAATTTTGACAATGTAGGGAAATAGGTATGTAGCAGTTGGTAACACGGTAACACTTGAAAATAGAAATTTGAATTGACAATTAGAATCTGTCAAAACATAAAATGTATTCACCTGAAAAAAATGTTTGTCCACGACTACCTTATAATATATACCTTATGAATGACTTTTCTAAAACAAAATGGTAGTCATTTTTCACGGAATGAATAATAGCGGTGAATAATAATCATTATTCACGGGTAGCCATCTTGACCAGACTAATATTAATTATTTGAAACGTTAAAAGTTCAAGAAACGTCAATTTAATTCAATTTTTTAGGAGTTTCTAAATGTTTGACATTAAAAAAACCTAAACAAATTCCTTTTTCGTATGATTTAAGCATAAATTAATTAATTTTCGTAAAGAAAACGACGTTTTATAAAACTGACACTTAATTTTGACAAATTGTTGTGAAGTTGATTACAGTTAGTAACATTGAATGTGTTACTAACTTGTGTCACATTGACGTTTAACCTTTATTCAAAAATTTATTTAAAAAATAAATTTATGGAATCAATTTCAATAGTAGTGGACAAAGTATAGTATTCTACTCGCATATAATGAGCTATTATTCACTCTGGTTAATTATGCCACTCACTACGCTCGTGACATAAGCTTAACCTTCGTGAATAATAGCCCTCATTATATGCTCATATAATAATATACTATTCATGTACACCTACCAAAATAAGAGAAATTGCTCAGAGTTCAATGTCCTCATCATTGTGGACCTTGTATTCGATGCTAAGAACGTGTTTAAACATCCATAGACAAAAATTGTCACATTGGCAACTATAAAAATTAATGACCCAATGTTACCAACTTGAACTGGTTCCATAATACTCCTATGTTACTAAAATCTCATTGCAGCATCGGATGCTATAAGGAGTTTCATTACAGCACCCGTTTGAGTACTGTTATAGTTTTCATTACCGTCGCGAATTACAAAAAAAAGAATTTATTATACTGTGTCAAAAAAATATCTGAACTTGCTAAAAGAAGTACTATAATTGCTGTTTTTTTAAATATCTAAATTCTTTTAAGTGTTTTTTAGTGATATTCCTTATTTTTTATTCTATTATATGAAAGAGGACTTAAAAATAAATTTATTTCGCACCTTAACAATTATTTTCTGTTTTACTTACTTCTTCCTGAAGACTTTCCTAAGTCATCGCTGTTGCAGGTTTTAATCCTTTAAATAATCCTGTTAAAAGGAACCCCTTATGAAGATGTTTCAATTGACCCCGACTGTTTTTCCATTGTATGATGCCTATGTTATATTATGTATGATCAGTTTTTCAAATTCATCATTACATTATTTTTAATTATTATTAACACATTGGCTGCCACGTCATTCACATATGAATACCATTCATGAGGTCATCACGTGGTAGCCAATGTGTTAAGGCATTCTGAGATTCGAAAGAAAATATACAGAACTTTTTACGTTTCAAATATTGACACAATACCGATTTAGTAATTGGTATAAATAAAAAACTCGCCTATTCACTTATAGCATGTATTAAAAAAAAATAATCTAACACATTCAGGACAGTCTACTATAGATTAAGTTAAGAAAAAAACGCTAAAAAAGACCGAAACAAAAATCTTTTTTCCAAAAAAACGTCTTGACATCAAATTCTCATTACTCCTTATTAACTCCTATAATTTGTTTCATTTCTTTTTTACTTCTTCTTCTTTTTCTTATCCGGCATTCCTCCAGTGGATTCGTTCTTCCTTTTCTGTCCGGTTTTGGATGAGGTTTGAGGCGTCCCTCCAAGTCCAGAACCCGCTTTCGGATTCTTTTTCTTCCTTTCCGCCCTTTCTTTCTCCTCCAACTCCTGATTTTCTCTCTCAATCAGCGTAATTAAAGTATTACACCTTCTTTGCAATTCCATGGCAGTACGAGATTTCAAAAACCAATCAAATCTAAATTGGGGCGAAGCCCTAATAGCTGCTCTCAATTCCTCGTAAACGTTTTCTCTATCGAAACCGAGTTTGTGTAACATGCAAACCAAGAAACGGTCTTCGTCCTCCATGTAATTTTTACCTTTGTTTGTACCGTAGGAGATTCGTAATTGATGGAAAGGAGCCCTGTAACGTGCCATTTTTGCGTCTAAAGCACGTTTTATGCTAGCTCGTCTTTGAATTTTCGCTTCGCCCCTTTCGATTTGGGCCATTATTCGATCGATATCAGTTAATTCGTGACACCGCTCCCAAAAAACGGCCGAATATTCCATAACTTCTTCCGGAGTCTTCCCCTCAACTTCTTTAGCGATATTTTCAATATCATCTCTTCCATATTTTTCGTTAGCTTTGATAAATTGGTTAAAATCTCGTTTAGACCAATTAGTAAATCCTTGTGTAAGTAAACTTTCTTTTTCCTGTTGTTCCTCTTCGCTTAGCGGTTCGGATTCGTCGATTTTCCTTTGCTCCTCTTTTTGTTGTTTGCTTGCGTCCGGTCCTAACTCGGGATTTTTCGGAACTTTGTATCCCAACGTTTTCCGGTAGTAGTAGATTTCTTGATCGAGCAGCTCAAAAAGTCGCGGTGGGAAGAATTGAAAGTCTTGAACTATCGGTTGTTTCGGAGGACGTGGTGCCTGAAAGTATGGTTTTTTTGGGAGTAATAATGTTACAAAATTAATTAATGAAAATGTTATGTTGGGAGATGAAATGTTATTTTCTTAATTACAAATTTTTAATTATATATTTTAGAAAATAAAATGTCAAATGATTGCCAACTAAGAAGCCGATTTAACGATTTACTTTTTAATGTATAAAATTTCAAATATATCTTAAAAGCAGTTAGTATTCATTTTGGCAAGTATTAGCAAATATTGGAAGTGATATCCATAAATAGTGTCATTATCTATATATTAATCTACGACTTTCGCTTTTTTGCAATTATATTTCTAGTTCTGCCCATTTTATCTATATTTATTTTTGCAATGTTATTATCATTCCATTTCATAATCATAATTTTCCCTCTTTGAAAGTAAGTAATTCTTCTATTTTTAAAACTATTTTTACTATTGGAACCAACTGATTTGGAGAAACAAACATATTAATCGATTAAGCAAGAATAAATAAAATAACGATTATGGCTTATACAGGGAAAATGAGACCAGATACATCAAATACAAGATACAAGGCTTCTTAAGACAGCTGAGATGAAAATTCTTAAGAGAATTTCGAGGATAACTTTAATGGAGAGAGAGAACGACTGAAAGAAAGACGAAAATATAGAAAATGAATGCTCGATCCGATGTAGGTCGTCCAAAATGATTGAAAAAGATGAGATAGAATATGACGTAAACGAAGACCTCACGAACTACTTATTTCATAATGGTTCTCGAAGACCAAAACGTGCCAGATATTGATAAACTAAACGATTTACGCGATCAAGCGATAAGAAATATGGAAAGGGTGCAACGAACACAGAAAGAGAGGAGTGATAAGAAATACAAAAAACCTCAAAAATTCCAAGGGGGAGATCTAGTATTGATTAGACGAGAGATGGCGGCTACGGGACAATTTAGAAAGATGACGCCATCTTATAAAGTACTATCGAATAAACACCATTCTGGCGGCGAAAGTTCAGTTCAATTTTTGCTGCAGACCTCATGAAACCATGGTGCCAAATCCCGGATGACGTCGACGATGGAATCGAGGACGATTAGTCAGGTAACGAAGCCGCGACACCTATTGAATGCTTCGAAGTCATAAGCACAGTACTGATCGCTAAAAGAAGAAGTTGAGAGACAAGAGCGTGTTGTTGTTAATGAATGTATTTATAAAAATAAAACAAACGAGAAACAAATAACAAAATAAGAGCCAACAAATTTAGAATAGGCGACCAGAGGAAGTGGAGCGACAGAAAATAAGCGCTTAAATTCCTTAATAGAGTTGCGGAAAATGTCTATCCCCAAACCGGTGCGCTGAAATGATTGCAAACCATTCTCAGCATAGGAGAGTTTTGAAAAATGTTTGAACGAGGAATAGGAGTATAAAACAAATAATCCAGTTTGAGCAGTCGGGTGGGACGCGAAAATTAATACTCCCCAGTAGTGGAGGAGAATCAATTACGTTATTAATGATTTTGTAGTATGTTAACGCATCACTACCAGATCGACGTTGACGGAGTGATAAAAGTTTGATTGAAGCTACGACATGCAGACTTATAATCAACAACATTTATGTTAGTCCTGTAGCTGAGGAGCTTTAGATTTTTTTTTGAATTCCTTCTATCTACTTATATAAAGTGGAAAGACATTGGGGATTTCAAACTGAGCTGTGAACACATGCAAAATATATACTTTAATTGTTTTGATGTCTATAAAATTTTCTGTTGTTCTAAGAACAAAGCTTAGCTTTGGAAACCACTCCGTCAACGTATTTCTTAAAGATAAGTTTGTCACACCAACATCTTTAATATGAGATACTCTCGACATGGCTGCGCTCCAAGACCATAGTCGTATTTAATTGAATTCAACTTTCTTGTGAAAGAAATTATATAACATTTGCTCAAATTGAGTGTAATGAATGAGGTTCGAGTCGTAGTACAGTTGCAAAGCGTCAACGTGAGGAAACAGTATACATTAAGCAGTGAGAATATTTCAAAACAGCAAATACATCATTAATGTAAACATTAAACAAAAGGAGTCCCTGCAATACACCCGAAGGTAAAATCCCAAGATTATCGAAGTACCACGGTTCATGAAGCTTGTGTATTCGAGCCAAAATGGCGGTTTGACAGCTTGTCAGTGCCAAGGTTTGTAAAGCGTATTGTACCAGGTTGGCCAGAGATGTAAAAACTCGATTTTAAGAGTAAAGGGGGGGATGACGTCACCAGATCTGGAGATCCGAGTCGGAGTAGACGACGGACCTTTTCTAATATAAACAGAACAAAAAGTTAAGTCTTTATTTTGGTCTAAGATATATTTTTTTATTCAAAATTTGTTTAATTTTATTGATTTTTCTTTTAAACGCATTTAATTTTTTTAACGATTCATACTTTTCATTTAAAAAGTTAATTCAAATAAGACTATATATTTAAACCAATAACTGTTGATACAACATAATTCGAACGACAATTTTTAATTGCACATGAAACGGGCATCTAAAATTACAAATTTTGATGTGGGGTTATGATAAATCATAGCTTCTCTGTAAATAATTAATACCTTGGTATTGAAATTATTAAAAAGTTTCTTAACACTAATTATAAATTTTCAACAATAAAAACCAGTAATAAACAAAAAAAAACTATTTTATAATATAAAATAACCGAAATAACAATGAAAAAAACAGAAATCGTATTACGGTGTACTACGGCTGGATCTGGTGACGTCACGATGAGGGCATCTAAGGGGGGGAATATTTTCGTTCATTGAAAAGGTTGAGCCTGGCCAACCTGGTACAATACGCTTTACAAACCTTGGTCAGTGCATATCACCACTTATTTACAAAAAATGCACATGTAATAATGCCGTCTTGTTGGGAAAGTAGCAGTAAGAAGGGCTTTCGACTCTTCAGAGTACCACGAGAAAAAAAAGAAAGGAAATTTGGCGTAATTTTATCGATACTTTGATAATCTAGGGACTTTACCCGAAGGCACTGAAAAGGAACTAGATTATGTCCTTTGATTAACACTATCTGAGTTTTTCCGCGCATGTAGGAGGCTCAATCATACCAAGTAGCCATCGATACGATACTGTTGAAGTTTTGAAATTAACAGATTATGGTAAACTCAGTCGAACGCCTTGCTGAAGTCTGTGTAATATGTAATTGCTATATTCTAGTGGTGAAACGGATATACGGCCATTTTTTTTAAATCCGGCCGGATACCGGAGAGTTACCAAATATTCGTTCAACCCCAATAGGACTTTTTTCATTGAATACAACTTTATTTATATCAGGTTTATCTTTAGCATCCTCATTGTAACAATCTCAATACGATATATAAAATCTCTTGCAGTTGCAGTTTCGTTTACTTTTCTTCTCTTCGCTTGTAATTCATCATCACATTCATTACTAACAGAACTGTCGCTGTTATTACTTTCGATTATTAATTAAAGTATCCTCTTCTTAATGAAAAAAGTCGTTTTGAAAATAATAAATAATAAATTTTTAAAATAATCGACAATTTTTTCGAATTTTTCTATTTTCGCCGATAAAGTTTTAAAAAAATTCGTATAAAATCCACTTCTTGGAATATGAGTATGAAAATTTCCCAAAGTGTTAATAAGAGTGTCCTCTTTCCAATGAACCAACCCGTTTTGAAAAATAACTTTTAGTATTTGAGAAAACAATATTTGAAGTTTTGATAAAATTTTCGATGTTGCAATTTTTACCAAATGTCTTCTCAACCTCAAATGTGACATTGAGTACAGCAAAGGAATGATCGGTAAGACCAAATTTTACCGTGCTAGCTAATCATGAGAAAATATCCAAAAGGAAATAATAAAAATTTCTTTTATATCTTGGATATTGCAATTTTTACTCGTATATTTTGATCAACAAAATAAATAACGGAAAAAATAAAGATTACGTAGAACCAGTGATGGGCGCTGGGTAAATACCCGGCGGGTAGGTATTTATAAAATAGGTATTTATCTGGGTATTTACCCCGGCCTAGGGTAAATACCCAAACAGTACATACAAAAGTGATACAAGTAAAAATATAACAGATTCGGACAAAAATGTAGAGGAACACGATGAAATAGGCGTTGAAGACGAGGAATTGCCAACGATCGAAGACGTATTATAATCAGGTAACCACTGCTCATTCTTTATTCTTGCGACGATGATCCGCGCAGTTCCACTTGAGCTTTGCCACAATGTTGACCGCATCATTTGCGCCAGTTCTTCTTCGTAGGTCTTCATTTCGTATGTGGTCCCTCAGAGTTATACCCAGCATCGACCTCTCCATCTTTCTTTGCGTTACTTTGAGCCTCCTGGTAATGGCCACCGTTAATGTTAAAGTTTCGGAACCGTATGTCATAACCAAAGGAGGAACCACGCATTGATTGAAAGCCTTTCTTTTCAAATATACAGGAATATCGCCCATGAAGATGTCTCTAAGTTTCCTGTAGGCTGCCTTTGATTATTATCTCTCGATNGGTATTATCGATCAAGAAGGTTACAAGATCAATGTATCGTGCATAATAATAATAAAGGATGTTGGTAAACCGAAGCCCGCTCATATAATTGAATTTGTAAAAAAAGTACCATAACATTAAGGTTTTTATTATTTTTTTTTTACTATTTATTATGTAATGTTTATTATTATTACAAAAATGTTTATTAATACTATTATTGGGTTGATTGGGGGGAAATTAAATTGTGTTATTATTATTTTCCGGAATATTCCTAAGTTCCTGCGCACGCGCATTCAAGAGTTGTGAGGCACGCCTTTATGCGTTCAACGCGCCATCTTTCAGAAACGCCGGTTCTAGACAGGAAGTTGTCGCACCTCCGCACCTCCGTGACGTCATCCGCCCAATGTAAAAGGATAGGGAGGGGAGTCAACCAAAGGCTTGGGGGAAAAAATAGGTTGGTAACTAGACCTGGTGATTTTTTAAAAAAAGTAACAGTCTACGTGGTTGGTAGTGGTTTAGTTCCACTACCAACCACTAGGTGGCGCGTTACTTTTTTAAAAAAGGTAACAGTCTACCTTGTTGGTAATGGTTTAGTTCCACTACCAGCCACTAGGTGGCGCGTTACTTTTTAAAAAAGTCACCAGATCTAGTTACTTTTCCAATACCTACCTATTTTTTTTTCACCTCAGCCGTAGGTTGGTACCCTTCTCTATCCTTTTACATTGGATTGATGACGTCACGGAGGTGCGGAGGTGCAATTTCCGGTTTAGAATCGGCGTTTCTATACTACTAGCAGCTTTGGCTGAAGATAGCCGCTGGATCTGAGAATGTTTGCGTGGGTTGTGTGTATAAACCCCCTTACGAATATTATAAAACTTTTTTAGATGAGCTTGAAACCTCTTTGCCTGACATATTGATGTTGACGAACAAAGTGTTATGCTGTGGCGATTTTAATATTTATTTGTTGAAATCCGATAGTAAAGATACAGATTATATTTTGTCTTTTTTTGAGTCTTTGGGAGGCATTCAGTTAATAGATGATCCCACCAGAGTTACAATGACAACATCAACACTTTTAGATCTAATTTTTGCGTTTGACTTGTCCATTGTAGATTGTAGTGGTGTATTACCTTGTGATTTTTCAGATCATGATCTGGTATTCTGTGATTGCAAATATGGTCGCCAAGTAGTTGAACCAATGTTTAAATTTGTTAGGTCTTTGAAGAATATTGATCAGTTATCTTTCATTTCTGATTTGGGTAATCTGGCTTTCAATAAAATATTTTATATGCACGATGTAAATGATAAAATTCGGTATTTTACTCAGGAGATAGTTCATTTGTTTGACGTTCATGCTCCTTTAAGGTTACGTAAGTTCACAAAGCCTAATGCTCCTTTGCTAACGGATAACATTAAATTCATGATGCGTTTAAGAGACCAGGCGAAATCCAAATTCAGAAAAACAGGCAATATCTCCCATTGGAACTATTATAAAGACTTGCGTAACTTCACTACTAATAGCCCCACAATACTACCGTATTTGGCGCACATATTGAACTCTTGCTTGGTTGAAAATATTTTTCCTGACCAGTGGAAGCGAGCTGTCATACTTCCTTTATCAAAGAAACAGAACCCAGTTGATTATAGAGATCTACGTCCGATCAGTATCCTACCAACTATGTCTAAGATTTTAGAGAAAATCATGAAAAAACAGTTAGTTTCTTATGTTGAACAGAACAGCTTGTTACCTGCCCAGCAATCTGGCTTTCGTGCAAATCATAGTTGTACTACAGCCATGTTGGGGCTCACGGATGATGTTTTGAGTGCGTCCGATAAGGGCATGCTGACTGCGGTGGTACTCTTGGACTTTTCTAAGGCCTTCGATACCATTAGTCATACATTACTTTGTCGTATTTTAGGATTTTTCGGACTGGGACGAAGTGCCGTGTCATTAATAGAAAACTATTTGACGGGTAGGACACAAAAAGTTAAAGTTGGAGATCAAGTGTCGCGGGAGGTTGGTGTACGTCCGGGTGTTCCGCAGGGCTCAGTCTTGGGGCCACTTCTGTTTGCTCTTTACACGTCGAGATTTGCCTCCTTGTTGACTTCTTCCAAAATTAATATGTACGCCGATGACATTCAGGGGTATCAGTCGTTTCCTTGTTGCAGGAGTCATGATGTAGAGCTAAGCTTAAATAAGGACTTACGGGATATTCAGAAGTTTGCTAATTATCATCAATTAAAAATTAACCCTGAGAAATCAATGTGGATTTGTTTTGGAACTACTCTGGGGATTGGGCGGGTTGATATTGATATCAAATTGGGGGATACACGTTTGCAGCGCGTGGATAGTGTGAAGTGCTTAGGCTTAACGCTCGACCCTAGTTTTAGGTATCGTGGACAGATCAATGAATATATCAAAAAGGCATATTTATGTCTAAGGAAGCTATATCCTAATCGGTCTTATTTATCACATAATGTTAAAAAACAGTTATGTGATACATATGTCTTATCACACTTTAATTATATGACACCTATCTATCGCGCTGCAATCAACATGGATACGTCTTACCGTATACAAAAAATACAGAATTGTTGTCTCCGATATATTTACGAATATTTACATTAGGAAGTAGGACCGAGTATCGCACAGACTCAAGGATGCAAACTGGTTGAAAATGAGCTCTAGGCGCGAACTGCTTAGCTTGATGCTTTTTCACAAGATCGTTAAAACTCGGACGCCGCGGTACCTCTATGATAAAATAACTTTTAAGTCAGAAGATGGGAGATATCCAACCAGGTTTGCTCTTGCAATCGTGCCACCAAAGTACAGAACATCACTGTTCCAGCGCTCTTTCACCTATCATGTCTACAAATCTTACGGAAGCCTGCTATTGTCGGTTCGACAGTTAAGTGCGACAGGTTTCAAAAGGTGGTAGGTGAAAGACTGGTAGGTTTGCAGGCCACTTAAATTTGTCCCCTTTACAGTGCTGTCTTGTTTTTTTTAATATTTTTTTTTGTTTATGATCTTGCATTTGGTGTGCATCCTGTTGTCTCCGTTGGTTATGTTTTTTTATATTATTATTTGTATTTTGCTTGTATTAGTATTACTTTTATATTGTTTTTTTTTTTCTTTGCGTATATACTACTTTATTTTTTGCTTTTTTCTGTATATTATTATTTTTTTTTGTTTGTTTTGTTTTTTTTCTTTTTTTTTGATTATAGGTTTTTTAGAACAGACTACAGTCTGGAACCCGCCTTTTGTGCCCTTTTGTTTTTAATTCATGTATTTTTTTTTTTTTCTTAAATATGCAGAGTCTTATGGTGCACAATAAAGTTTATTATTATTAATTAAATAATACAAATTCCGTAGGAGGAAATTGTATTTTTACTGATTCCTTTTAATTCGACTTTATAATCAGTGTAACAACTAGCGTTAGGATTAACATGACCCCTTTTTATAATGCTTATCTGACTTCCACTATCAACCAACAAGTTTGAGCTTTTATTATCGCAAATATCGACTTTAAGAGAAACTTCATCTAGCGCGACTTTTTCATTAAGATTTATAATAAAAGAATTTAAAGATTTTGAAGAATTATTTTTATTATTCACGGAATTTGAAGTGTTTATTGCTGGAGCAATTTGCTGAAATACTCATTCAATAATATTACTAGAATCAAAAATGATAACCAAAAATAATTTCAGATAAAATTTTATTGGTGAAAAATGTCATAAATATTCAGGTATAGTTAACAAAATCGAGAAAAACTACAACAATAACATTATAATGGTTGTTTAATAATTTTATTTAACATTTAATTTTTAGAAAAAAATTTAACTGGTTTTCATTTTTAAGTTCCAAGAATTACTTAGAAACTTAGTAACAAATTTATGGTTAGATAGCATGTTGGTATTTTATTTTCTCTATTAAGCGTTTGGAAAAAAAATTCTGGATAACTTTTCATTTTTCTATTCCAAAAATCATCATCTTTGTCAATTTCTTCTATGTGCGGCGGTCCTACTGGGCTCTATACCATAAAATGACATGTCTTCTTTTCTGTGACATAAAGTTGCCCTTGTATTTGGTAGTAATACTTATGTAGTGTCTTTAATTTTAATTGACCATTTCTTAATTCTAATATATTAATTTTCTTGGCATGTATCCCGTCTTCTACCGACATATCTCTTAGATTATACGGGCACTTTATTTTCAGTATAGCATTCTTACTGTGGATTATACCATCTGGACTCGCACCTAAAACGAAGAACTCCTCTTGACCAACATATAAACCACAAGTGTCTACATGTCTACATGTAACAGCTTCAAATTCTTTTAGTGCGGTATTTTCGTATTAACAGTGTAGTGAATCGCTTTGTTACCACGAAAAGAACTTTCTAATAAAATTTTAAGTATGTAGGTTCTTTGGTGATGTAGATGGCCTTCGCTTACAAACTAATCCAAAATTTGAAGCTGTTATTCTAAATAATCTTTGTTGTTTCTAATTTTAATTAGTATGTTGGCCTCTGGTTTCATCCTGAATTGTCCTGGCTTCATCCCTTGTTTTCTTTAACAATCTAAATACCACTTCTCGTCTTCTAATTAATTCTTCTTGTAATATTTCTTCAACATTTCCGTTGTCTGCGTCTGCTTCTTGTGGAACTGGTCTTCTTCTCTTGTCTATTTTGGTTTTGCCGATTTACCCACATTTTATAGCTGACTTTAAAATTTTGTGCAGTATAATAACCGATTTTTTCCCCATCCCTTCAACTATATCCTTCATATAATGTTCACTACAATTAAAAACAATTGCGGCAAGTTTGCACGTAAGTTGACAGGATCCTTTTATGGTCAAATTTACCTGAAAAGTAGGGACTCACTTAAAAAAAAAACATGCTTATCTTAGTTACATACTCGCACCGAGAAAAATATTTTATATAAATCATTTAAACATTGATATAAAATATCTAAAGTTCGTGGTCCAAAATTAGCTTTCTAGTTAGTGTAGATATATTAACCATTTGAAATTAGACAATATGGAACAAGTGAAACAGCAAATGTTTTAAATAATTTTATTAATGTTTGTAGTAGCATTATCAAAAGTCTCAAATTACCTTAACTACTTTAACTTAATTGTTTTGCTACTTAATTGTAAAATTTACTAGTGTAAGTAGAAGTTTGCTTTATGGAAAATATGTATTTTAGCAAATAGAATTTATTATTTTGACTAAATAAATTAAGTTAATTTTCTACAGCATGTAGCTATGTTTTCTAAAAAATATTATTCACTTTACCACAATGCTTAGATAATTTTACTAATGCTTGTAGTAGCATTATTGCAAGTCTTGAACTACTTTAACAAATTGTACTTGTTATTTTGACTACATAAATTAAATCAATTTTTTATATAGTGTAGCTATATTTTCTAAAGACATTATTCACTTTACCACTTGATATTCGATGTTTTTATCGTACTAATGTGTAGTTCATTTTGCTAACTATGTAGAGGAAATAAATAACATACAATGCATTTTAAGTTTATTATAATAATATATTCGCAATAAACGTTTTAAAGCAAAACTAAATGTTTACTTAAACCGGTAAGTACATAAAAATAAATCAAACTATTAATGCAGCAACATAAACAATATAAAACATAAACAGTAACCAATACTTAAACAATAAATAAAAAACAACTTAAATTATTTTATATTGTATGCAGGTGACCCGTAATATACGGACAGCTGTATATGTATAAAACGACTTATTAAACAAATGATTGTGATTTTAATTTAACTGCTAATGAAAAATCATGTAACGTAACTATGTTGGTTGGTGGAATGTTGATATCAGCGGAAGTAAAAATATGTGTGACAACATTTTTTGGCTTATTTACAATAAAAGACAAAGTGGGTTCATCCAGCTTTTTAATGTGGATAAAATTGGTTAAAAAGTAATGTAAGGAATGATATCAAAAAAATTCCACAATGATGTAAATTTCTTAGAGGATATGTACAACAATTGTTTCGCTTTATTAGAGCGTCTTCAGGTACAACTAAGGTGATAATAAAAAATTAGGTGTTAAAAATTTAAGGAATAATTATTTCTTACCGTCTCTTACTGTACTCGAACGATTAAAGAAACTGAATCGTCATTCCATTCAGTTTTCTTTAATCGTTCGAGTCTCCAATCAATTTTGTTAATTTTTATCAATTTTCGTTTCTCAATCTTTTTCCACATGATGCATAACTGTTACAATTCTTTTCTCGTTGATTTGACGGTAAGAAATAATTAATATAAATTATTAATAAGTATTTCTAATAATTAGAAATAAGCACATTCCTTCGATTTGTGACGATGTGTAAGTATGCTTTAGTTTGTTTGTGTTTAGCTTCTTGTCTCATTGTCCATAATCGCTTTAGAGGACCTAATTTTTGAATTACAAATGGATAATGAACAGTGAACTGCTGCTTAGGTGTGAGATCAGTGCGAAACACAGATATATATATGTTTCATGATGCAATGTTATGATCCCACTAAGCTAGGAAAGTTGTTTTTCATTATACGATGGTAAAAGACATGCGTTAACTAACTTTATAAGCAATATTAAAACTTTTCAAGTAGGTTCGTCGTCCGGAAAAAAATCTCCAATCATAAGAGGTAGATAGTGCAAAAATGCAAGCATTTCACTTGCTGACATTTTTAATTTTGAGTTCATTAAACATTTAGTCGTAATATTCACAGACATACTACTAGCATCCGAATAATGATACTGGACTTTTTTTTTCGATCATTGAGAGTATCCAAAGTAAAATAGCTTTTGCCATGCATAAAATGGTTTAAAATACTACACAGTTCTACATGACAGATTCCTTCAAATAAATCATGCATAATATTGACTACTGCACTATCAACTACGTTAAACGAAGAAAATTTATTAAAAATACAAAGCTCGCGTACCCCAGTTAAGGAAGGATCATTTACAAAAACATCTTGCCAATAGATTTCATTAGTTCTAAGTAAAGACTCATCCTCTACTACACCACACTTGGCATTATTTTTATGACATTTACATAATCTACAAAAATAATTGGCTGAAACTGACCTAGCATCCCATCATTGTGTTAAGCCCCAAGTTATCTCCAATTAATGCTGTTAATACGAGATGTACTTGAATACGTCTCGACTCAATAACTATTGTTATTCCTTCCTCTAAGGAATTCAAAGCAGAGACTAAATTATTAAAATATTTTTGAGTTCCAAATTGTAAACTGGTTGTATGTGTAAGGCAGGCTATAAGTGTATTAGATTGTTCGCTCCGCTTATATATTTTTAGTGCGCATGTGCGACATTCGCCCCCGCTCAGTGTGAGTTTCACCCGCTTGGTCCGCATGCGCACCCTTAACGCACTCCGCTTTTAATTTATTACGTATTACGACTCAGCTAAGTTGACCCGTATTTGAATACTACGCATCCGCTTCGCATCCGCCACAAATTCAGTTTAGTTCTCTACCGCATCGCTACGCCGCTTCAGGAGGTAATTAATCAATTATCATTTGTTTTATTTAATTTTTTTTAATTAAGAATTATATTTTTTTTATTACAATCATCTTGTTTTTTTTTTATTATTGCTAATTTTTGAAACCAGCACCTCCGCTGTTATTGTCGCCTATAATTAGAGCGCACAATTTTTTGGTCCTTCGAGCCGGATTTCCGGATTTAATTTCATTTTTCATTCAATTTCATTTAATTTTATACGCCATTTTTGGACGAGATTTCGAACATTTACCGTCGCTACTTCTTTTTGGTTTCGTTCTCGTCCGTGTTCGCAAAACATCTGGTGCACATCTGCCAATTTTTGTTGCCTTTTATGGTAACAAACAACCTGTTTCTTTTCCTTTATATAGGATCGTCATTTATTATTTTTAATTTAAAAATTTTCGATCACTTTGAATTTTCTAAATTTCGCAAATATGGCCGACAAGTTACCCAAAATGATCCTGAAACGTAGTGGATTTCTAAATCGATTAATTGAAACCGTAGATGTTGGTAACGGTATAGATAATACTGAGCAGGAATCATTATTTATTGTTCGCGCTACTGATTCACATCACACCTATGATGAGTTTATAAAAATCCATAATTCAATTATTTCGTTGATCGCTGATGATGATTTTGAAACGCACGATGATGTACGTCGTCAAGCTGATATCGCATACTATTCCATAAAGGCCCGTATGGCTCGTATAACTGAGTCCATACTTGCATCTGCGACACCTGCACCTGTGACACCTAATCCGATTACCACACCTAAACTACAAAAAATCACCTTACCCATTTTTTCTGGTGATTTTAAAACCTGGTCTAGTTTCCATGATTTATATCGGACAATGGTCCATGAAAATACAACGCTTTCCAACGTCGCCAAATACCAATATATGATGACGTCACTATCGGGAGAACCGTACCATCTGCTTCAGGGATTACCGGTGACCAGTGACAACTACGAAATTGCTTATCAAACATTGAAAAACCGCTATCAAAATAAACGGCATTTGGCCACAATTTATTATAATGAAATACAAAATATTCATATGAAACATGAGGGCTCCTCAAAGGCATATCGGCTACTGATCGACACCTTCACGGAAAATCTCGGAGGTTTAAAAACGCTCGGTTTCCCGGTGGACGCTTGGGAC